AAAGTAAGAATCATAGGTAAACATTGTGTGCATGCTAGGAGCATGGGACAAGTGTAATAATTCAAGTAAGAAGTTGATTACCCGAAACGACAAATAATGAGTAATCGATATGGTGATAAATAAAAGGAGTTTTATTTATACTCAAAGGGTTGAGGCCATATGGGATTAGTATTATTCTTGTGTTTCACTTTGCATGTTTTGACTTCTAGAATAATTGCGTTTATTAAGAATAATCGAATTATTCAAACGGGCCACAGTCATTCATATGTTGGAAGTAGATATGAATGAAGACTGTCGTGAATTGGTGTGTGGATTGTCTAAAAGAGTATTAGACATAAGTAAATGTTTGCTGCAACATTCATGAGTGCTTATGAATATGAATTTGAGCATTGGATTAAACCCACATTCACTTGGATCACTCCATGAATTGTATCACGAGTGATTGGTGAGACGATAACATCTTATATTCTTAAAACCAAGATGTGTGAGTTGTATCTTGCTAATCAGTTGCACATTGATAATATGAAAATGCACTAGTAACTTGGTGTTGTAAAACATATTGTTGTGTGTGATTTGGTTAGTAAGTGAAAGCAAGCATTGTATCAAAGTTTATCCGTTCCTTTTATCCAAAGAAGGATAAAAGCGATATCTTTTGGGCCCCTCGATGGTTTAGTGATGACAAACATAAATGCTCGGCCGGGCTAGGGCTAATTTGATTTGTTCAATTAGTCAGTCGTCATAAATAGGGAATCGAGAAATAGTACAAAGAGAATGATTAGAAATCATGTCTTATACGATATCTAGAATGGAGGAATATATGATCCCTTATCTAAGGACATGCGTATCTGATAGGTTCAGAGTTGACAGCGGCTTTGGAAAGCTACGATTGCAGATCAGGATCTGAAGTCATACACGTAATAGTTATTAGACTTATTCAAGTGGGAGACTGTTGGATTAGTGTCTAAGTCCATAACTATTTTGGTATGTACTTGACCCGATGGTGCATGGTCCTTTTGGGTTGCCTTCACCAAAGCAACTTGATTGGAGAAATATATATATAGAGAGAGAGGATAATATGATTTATTAATATGTTATAAGAATAATATATTAAAGGAGAAATTATATTTGTCTAATTAATATTGGTCAATAATTAATTAAGAATTAATTTTGTGATCAAGTGTAATTAATTAAACTAGAGGGGCTGATTTGTAATTATGTGATAGTTACAAAATAAGGTAAGGATTATCTTATTATTAGGTTGGACGAATTTAAGGTGATCAGGCCTTAGAATTCGACTATGATAAGGATTCAAGGATTATCTTATGGGTTGCTTTGTGGATAAGCAACTAGATAAGGATAATGACTGAAACCCTATCTCTACACCTATATAAAGACCCTAAGGCTCATGAATTCGTGTATCCCTTCCCAAGAAGTCCTAAGGACGAGTTCTAACCTCTCTCCTCTCTCTTTATACCTTCTCCATTTGCTCTTGGTGTTTGTAAGCCATTAGAGGAGTGATACTTGTGACTCTAAGCATTCCAAAGTCAATTCAAGGTGGAATTAGGATTGTTATTGCTATATAACAATCAAGGTATGTTCTTAAACCTTATTATATGTTAATATCGATTTCTATATGCTAGAATTAAGGTTTGTAGTCTTGGATTCAAAGCATGTACAATAGAGAAACCTAGATCTGAGCATTAGGGTTTCTATAAGCACATAGGATGTTTTATGACCAAAACCCATCAGAGGTCCCATATCATACATTAGGAGTAAATAGATAAAGAAACTTTGTCCATTGCATTAAAAACAAAAAGAAATGGAAAGTGGATTATTATTTTGGGTTATGAGGTTAAAGATGAGAATAACATTAGAAATAGGTCATTAAGTGAGAAAATGATTAAGAGAGTAAGAAAATATTTTGAAGAAGAAATCTATTTAAGGAGGTTACATTGGAAGAACCTTAAATTTAGAAGTTGCAAGTTATTGACTAAAAGGGAAAGATGGTCAATTATGAGAACTTGGTAAGTTTATAAAGTTGTAGCTTCATAAAAAATGGACAAGATGAGTTTAATTCACTAAGATCAGGTTAGATGAGTAAGTTCAAGAGAAAAAATACACAAGAAGATGCATTTTGGCAAAAAAGGGTAAAATGGGTATTTTTATGATTTTTGGGCCAAGTTGGTGACTTAATAGATTAAGACCCATACTAAGTCGGTGAGAAATGACTTAATAGAGTTGTAAAGTATGTTTCCACCTTTAAGTAATAGATGAGTAGTAGACGATCTCTTGATGATATAAAGATATGGATTGTCCATGGGACAATAGCTATGTGTTGAGTCACATAAAAGAGTTAGAGAATAGTATGTTTCCTTCGGGAATAAGAGTATGATTCCTTTAGGAGGGAGATAGAGATTCCTACGAAATAAGAGTATGATTCCTTTGGGAATGAGATAGAGATTCCAACGAGAATAACATGGTGGTTCCTTTAGGAATAAAGGGTATGATTCCTTTGGTAATGAGATTATATCCCTACAGTGAAAGAGAAGGTGATCCCTTTGGGGATGTAGATAAATGATTTCTATAGGAATAAAGATTATATATGTTCAATGAAAATAGAGAAGAGATTCCATGAGTGGAACAAGTCAAGAGAATTCTTTTAAGAACCTAGATATAATCCATGAGGGATTAAGAGTAAAGAATCTGCAAGTGATTAAGAGAAGATGAGTGAGTGAGGATCTACGAGGGATCATAAGATTCAGGAGTAAGTTCGTATGAGTGTACCCAAAATTTTTATTGTGAAATGGTTTTCCCTTGGAAGATAGAAGAAGAGTAGGAAGAGTATTAGACAAGAATGCTATAAGTAGAGATGTGTCAAGAGCAGAGTAAGAGATAGAGAAGAGCATGCATATAGTATATAGAAGAGTAAAGAAAGATTTAAAAGATAGAGTATCTAAAAGAAAGAAAGAGAAGACATAATATATGTAGAGTATGAGATGGGAATGATAAGGGACTAAAAGAAGGTAATATATGAGACTGATAAGAGCCTAAGAGAGAGTCGGAGATGAGAATAAAATATTAGTAGAAGAAAGAATATGAGAATGAAAGAGTAGAACGTTGAGGCGTGAGAAGAGATAGAAGTGTATATATATATATATATATATATATATATATATATATATATATATATATATATATATATATATATATATGAGATAAGTAAATACAACATGGTAGATAAGATGATAAATAAGAATAAGTAAAGAGAAAAATTCTAAAAGAGAAAGATGTAATGAGATAAGAAAGAATAATAATGTATGCTATCAAAGAAACAAGAATAGATTGTAGAGTAAGAGAAAGGTGAAAAAAAAAAGAAAGAAAGATTAGATGGAACATGAAACAGATAAGAATATAGGTTTGAAGCAATAAATATTTTCATGTTTTGCTGGTTCAGGTAGTAGTCGTGGTACGTGAGAAGAGTGGAGCACGAGACCTGGAATAGATTTCATTTCCTTATTGTTTCAATTTGTATGTTTGATTTTTATTGTAAACCTATGATTAAACTTAGGATTTAAATCATTTTAATTTTTATAGAATTTTACATTTTAGTAGAAATTGTGATAATCCCTTTAGATGTATGTGTAGAAAATATGGTCGTTACAATTGGTATCAGGGAAATAGTTTTAGTGAATCAGGTTTGGTATGTGCATTCCTAGACTTAAACTATGGAAAATGAAAGATAAACAAAGGTTATGAGTTAGTTTTGTGATAAACCATGCTATAAGATGTATGCATGTGGTCGTAGATATGTGCAGATATGTCGAGAGAAAATATAGAATGGTCATTTTGTACATGCTCTCTTAGCAATGAAAGTTGTATGGACATTTTAGGTCTTTTTTATGTTTAAACTTTAGATTTTGTTGGATTGGAGTGTCTTAATGGATAAAATTGGAAACTTTATCCACTTAAACACTATTAAGAAGCAAATTTGGAAGTTTGGTAGATTAACTAATTGGAATAAGTAATTTTGCCTTATAATTATAGCTAAAGCCCATCGTGCCTCTCCCACATGCAGTGTGCTTTTCAGAATCTTTTGGGAGCACGCCTGTTTAAGCTAAGAAACCCGAGTATTTTGTCTTTTTGTGGGTGCGGGGCACCCAACAAAAAGTTGGCGCGCTATTGACTAACATGCTAAGTTGTTGAGTTTTTAACTAAGTTTGACCTTGGATCAAAATTTAGGGTTTAAGTCATAGCCAAGTTTGACCTTTGATTTATTTCTAGGTGATGTGTGAGACCAGTCCATTAGTATTCACTTGCAGTGGTATTGTTTTTGATCTATCTGTGAGGTGAGTCTTCTCACTATTTTGCTAATCTCATGTTTGTTGTGGTTGAAATGTATCTTTAGTTGTGCTGAACTTTTTTGTATGTTAATTTTCTATAATTGAGTAGCTTATGACTATGGGTCGTTGAGCACCTAGACATTCTGTAATTGAGTTATTAATGACTCAGGGTCACTGAGGACCCGAATTTAATGTATTTTAGTTGATGACTACTCGGGGTTAAACCGAACCATTATTGTTATGTATTTTTATTTGTGATGTGTTATATCTGTTACTCTGATAAACTCACTAAGCTTTGTCTTATAGTTGTGGATTTAAGTTTTTTTGGTAATTCTGAGGATCGGGGAAAGACAAAGGCATGACTGTACATAGTCGTCAACATCATCAACATTTTGTGATTTCATGTTGTTATGATACTCTAAGCTTTGTCTTATAGTTGTGAATTTTAACTTAATTAAAAACCAAAAATTTTATTGTGAGATTTGGATACACATTTCCCCAAGAAATAATGCAATAAGCCCAAGTCTTTCATAACAAATCGGTATGCCAAATCTTGTTTCAAAGACTCTATACAATTATGATCGAAACTTGTAATAATCATGTCATCAGTATATAAGGAAATAAGGATCCAACCAGCACTCTTAAGTCTAACAAATAACGTCGAATCATGATTACTAGGATAAAAACCAAGAGAAGTAATTACCGTGGAAAATTTCTCAACCCAAGCACGAGGGGCTTGTTTGAGACAAAAAAAAATATCTCAAGTGTTACATTGTAAATATAAATGATTACTAAAATGAAAACCAAGCGAAGTAATTACCCTAACTGTATTTTGCCTCTATTGTTCAAAAGTTTACAAATATCTCAAGTGTTACATTATAAATATAAATATTTAATTCAATTATTAGAAGGGAAAACTTTCTCTAGAAATTTGAAGAAGCGGTTAGAGTAAAATTTAGGTGGAGCAACAGATATTGACATAGGGTCATGGAGTACAGATTTATATGCATGTTCTATTTTCTTTCTTGTGTTGTATTCCTGAAGTATATCAATTATACCGAGATAAAGAACAACGTCGTAGACCTCAAAAAGTTCGACTTCTGTGGAACCGGAAATGTCATGAGAAACCTTATGGTTTGCTTGAGCCGGCATGTTCACACCTAATTGCACCCGTAACCTAAAAATGTTTTTATAGATATTAGGTAAAATTTAAGGTACTAGATGAAATTTATGTATATGCATGGCATCTCATGCCATGCCATGACAATACATATATAACATAGCATAATACAGTATGGAATGATATGGCACAATATAACATAACATAACATAACATGACAAATTGCTTATTTCGTTGTTCAATGGACTGAGACGAAGATAAGGTCCGACCCAAAGGATAGGGTAAGTTGGGAGACCATCTTAAGTGACTTTGAGTTTAGGGTCCAATTTAGGATTTATTTCTCTAGATATAATACAAACAATTTAATAAAAAAAAAGATTTTGATGTAGTGTAGTTAGAAATGTTACTTGTCTAACTTTTAGAGTCTGGTGTGCTCAATTACGCCAATAGTTAAGTGAGAAATTTATTTATATATACTTTTATTTCTCAAGATGTATAATTCTTTTGAAGCTTGTGTGGTTGAGACAATACCTTGAAATTGATTCTTCCAAGTTCGATACTTAGGTAGTTTATGTTTTGCCTTCTATATTAGATTCAAAATCATTCTTAAACAAAATATTTCATCTAAACCAAAATCTAATACTAGCATTTTTTTCCTTAGAACTAAAATATATTTGGACCAACCGTCACCAGACAAATGCAAATGGAAAAAAAATTTCACTATGTTGTCCCACCCAATAAGGTGGTGCATGTTGAAATGCAGACTTGTTGTTCATGACTTCTTGTGTGTGTAAAAGGTATAAATGTTCACTTCTTCCATATAATTAGATATAATATCCCTAAAAAGACACATGTCCCAAAAATAACCTCAACATTAACGACAACAAATTTAAAATATAACCCTTTAAATCCAAATTATGGATGATCGTGATTTTTGACCAAAAGGTCATGGTTAAAGTCACTGGAAAAACACCATATTCTTAAGGCCTATACACCTTAATAAACTAGATGTGCCCTATTTATCTAGAATTTTGACCTAAATATTCCATTGATAATACTATCTCCGTACATTTTTATTCTTATAGGCAAAAGGGTCATTTATATAATAATTAAGAGTTGATATTATTTTATGTAGTACTTTTATGGTAGTATCAAGCATACATTAATCAAAGCTGGAATGAAGCATTTGGATTAAATAAAAAAATCGTGTTTTTTTAATAATTAGGGATGGTATCATAAAATCCTTAAAAATATGATTCATTCTTTGATGAAATGTAATGAAATATATGTACTTGTCAATTTACTTTTAATATAAAATATTCAATAAGGTTAATATCATAAATAGGAAACAATGTATTTGTTTTTTTTTACAAAAAAAATAATAAAACAAAAAAAAAATATTCTAAAGATTTGTAAAGGCTAATAAAGTATTTTTTTTCTTTTCACAAAATACCATTAAATCAATGTTTTTGTCTTGATTTATGAAATTAACTTTATTTACGCGTCTAATTTGAATAATGGAATGTTAAATATTATTCATGAGTATAAAATTTATATTTATTTTTAAAAACCAAACAAAGAGTAGATTGAATACCTTCCAGTACCGGGAAGAAGGACATCAACTTCCTTGTCCCCTACCGAAAATGCTTTCAAAGTACTTCCTCTACTATGCGGACCTGGTGCGGTGTTTACAGAATCTGGTTCATGAGTCACTAGGAGAAGTCCCGTTGGTTGAATTGTACGATCCACACGAAAAATTGCTCCTAAAACAAGCAAAAGAGAAATTTAAATTGTTATATAATTTATAATATAAATAAAATAGAAATAGAGATAGAAATTTACCATCATCAGTAGTATTCTGAGGCCTGTTGAATGCATAAGCATCTGGTGGTTCTAACATACTCTTCAAATGTTCAGGAGCTCTAAAATGCAATCCCAATAGAAGACTATAATCTATAATTTGTTGAGATTCTAGAAACATGCAGTCCAGATTAATTTGTCTGTAGAAATGGGACACTAGTGAAATACTAAAACTTATCAATGTAAAAGGAAGTGCTAAATGCAAGAAGTATCAATCCACTTTTACTCATTTGTGTACTTTATCATACCACTTTCATTTCTTTACATTATAGCATCATACTTTGAAAAATCTACCCAATTATAGCATTTTGCGTTTAGAACATTATACTCTGAAGTTTTAGCCAACTATAAAAGATTGTATATTTATGTAGATCTTTCAAATTGCAATGTTGTATTAGGAAAAAATGAAACCAGGATGTTGTAATAAACAAATGTGTTAAAGTACATTTTTATATTATCATTAAACTAGAAATATAGTTGATGATACGTCAAACTTAAGTTTGAGTGGATGAAAAACGGAAGATATAATCATCAAATGACAAGAGGAGAATATTACTTACGTGAAAAGTGCATCACGGAGTGACTTGTCCATATGGAATTTATAAGTAAGATCAAGGTCTTTCAGTGTGGTGGCCTCTATAATATTATATGTATTTGTATTTCTTCCATAGTATGAACCCTTCAAATCATAATGACGGTGTATCCTCAAATCAGTGTAAAACATGTTTCCCATGACCACAAATTGTACCTAAAGTTGAGTTTAACAAAACAATAATGAGGATGTATACTAAGTGGGTGTGTTGTTTAAACAATGATTTGGAAGAAACATAATTTTTCCAATGAATTGGAATTTGAAAAAATTATAATCACTTACATGCATGGTTGGTAGGAGATGGGATGGAATTCAATGATTATATATATATATATATATATATATATATATATATATATATATATATATATATATATATATATATATATATATATTACATTTTCATTTGCATTCAAATTTATTTTTATTTATCGTACCATAAAATTATTTTTTATTATATAATGAAGGCATTTTGGTCTTTTAATAAAAATGAAAAATGAAGGTGAATTCCTACCACCCTTGGTAATAAAGAATAACAAAATCTATTAAACATGAAATTTCATTGATTTCGAAATAACTGAATTTTGTCCATTAATTTGGAAACCAAATACATCATGGAAAGGAATCTCATATTCCAATGTTTTGGAATTCCATCAGCATCTGCAAACCAAACATGCACATGGAAACTAGAATAAGCAGAAAACATGTTAGATACCTTCTTGCCACCTCTTGGTGTTATCTCGTGGATGCCATAAAATTTAGTAATCATGGTATTATCGTGTGCTTGTACATGATTGTAATAGCTAGGAAGCATCTTGAGTAAAACCTACAAAATATGAAAATAGAATATCAAATTTCTAATTTTAATTCGGAAACAAAGTTGCATAATGATGATGCAGTGTGATATATAGAGTAAAGAAAGATTAATAAATTATAAATGTAATAAAATAAGAAAATCAGTAATTCAATTGGGAATTACCTATGAAGATAAAATTGAGGTAGAAATCAGACATTGTTAGCTCAGCTAAAAAATCACTAGTTCGAGTTAGTTACCAAGAATGACATTTTAGTAACTTCAATTATGACTATGTATATTACTTAAATAGGTATGTTGAAACTACTTTTATTTTGCAAGTATATTTATGTAATGATAAATCTTTTTGATAAAGTTCTTAATTGAGAAAACAAAATGTAAAAATATTAGAACTTATTTATCTAGTAGAGAAATTCTGACTTAAATATTAAATGATAGTTTTTAATAGAGAAAATTACATGTATGGTCCATGTGGTTTGGGGTAATTTATGTGGTTTACAAAATGTATTGTAAGGAAAGCATGTTTTATGATGTGAAAGGAAACATAGAAGAAAAAAGTTTTGAGTTACGTATTCATAGAAATATGAAATACATTGCATAAATAAGGAACTTATGCAAAGGATGTTACTATTATTGAAATGACACTTAATTATCATATGAGTAAAGGACATAAGGTCTTAAGATGTAGGAAATATTTAATAGGTTTTGCATGGCATGATTATGTCAAATATTAAGGTTTATTGTCTAATTGGACAATAAATGAAACATGCATGCTATTATGGGTAAAAGGATTGAACTTATAATGTGCACGTAAAGGTTTGAGTGCATTTTGAAAATATATGGAAATGATTATGAGTCAATTAACTTGATTGCGATAGAAATATGTAATGATATATCACAAATGTTGTACGTACAAAAGAAGAGGCCAAACGTACCAAGAAGACTGTAATGTGTGTTTCATCAAATAAAGTTGTACATGGAGTCTTAATTTATACTATATCCTATCTCGCTAATCTAGGAAACTATATAAACATGGAAATTATACACATTGATGTACTCCTAATTTTTAGTAGTGATTAGCTAAATTACTCTTAATTTACAAATATGTGTGTGTTTTGCATCTAGACAAAAATATGATATATCTAGATCTTGTGAAAGTTTCGAATGCTAGCCCTTACTTTTCTTATTGTAATAGGTAAAATAATTTAGGATTTGCAATTGGGTTGGGTTCGGCTTGACGGTTCAAAATACATCAACCCAACCTAACCCAACCCACATAACACATTTAATTATACAGGTTTGTGGGATAGAGCGATGAGCACCAGTGGGATGATAGAGCATAGGTGTACCAATGGTTCGCGATTGCAACTGGAGATGGTACTAGTGGTTGAGCTCTCACGACATTGAGGTAGTAATGTAAGGATGAGAGTAGTTTGTTATCTTTTTGAGTAACAAGGAGTCAAGGATTGGGTTTCTGACTAAGTAGGGCATGCCGCACTCGTAAGTCATAATTCATAAAAAATATTTTTTTTAAATATATATATATATATATATATATATATATATATATATATATATATATATATATATATATATCACCTCTATAAATTATGCTATATGAGCATATATATTTGTACCTTATAAGTAGGAAGACATGGTATTACAATCGTGAATTACTATCATCTGCTTACAGTCAATGCTTGATTTTTTAACCACTACACTTTATATAAATTAAACTACAAGAAGTATGAATTACATAATACAATAAAGAGAGTTGTTAGCCCATGAGTCCCATAATAAATCCCTATCACATTTAGCTCTAACCTTAAGTCATAAAAATCTCAAAGTTTTGACCTTATAAGCTAGAGTAGACAAACTCTTCAATTTTCTATTTAAAATCATATCATTCATATCTGTCCATATGGTCCATATTAGCGCCTTTGAAATCGCTTTAAGAATATCTTGAGATATGTTGTCCACACTATAAGTTGAGTTTATCCCTAGGAAGGTGTCAAATGCGTCGTTCAAGATAAGGTCATTGCACCAATTGAGCAGGATCTCACGAATCTCCTTAGTTGTGGAATAGCTCTTGGAAACATGTCTCTTGTTCTACACAAATAATTACAAAATAGACACATGGTGATTGGAATGATTACCCCCTGTGTGCGAGGTTAAATCTAGTGAACAATCTACGGAGTCTCAAACGCCAAATTAAGATATTTATTTTTCAGGAACCACCTTAGACCGTATGGTAGTTAAGTTAGTGCACTCCAACAAATGATTGTCAACTTCCTTTCTTAAATAAGAAACATTGAAATATCCTCTCCCATTGAGAATCCAACACTAACTACTTGTTATTGAGTTACCCTGATGTCAATAATTTTATAAAAGAGGTTAAGTAACTCTATATTTGACATCTCCATGACTATATTGATCTTATTGATTCGTGCTCTAACATTGATTCTATTACAACTTGAAATTGACACTCCCAACCCTACATGTTCTCTATAAATGCATCTAAAAACTTTTTCCTAATTGTATAGGTGGTATCCTTAAAATGCAACCACCATTTTCTTAAAGGATCTAGACTGAAAGCTCTTAAGCTTCGAATTCCCAAACTGCCAAGATCTTTGAATTTCATCGTTTTGTCCCACGTAATCCAAGTGATGATTTTGCTAACTCTAGTAGTACCCCAAAGGAACCTATTATAGATACTTTCAAGCTTCACAATGACTTTTTTATAGACTTTATATATCGAGAAAAGGTACGTCCCGAGGCTTGCTAGAATACACCTAACAAGCGTCAGGCATCCACCAATTTAAAGGGTTCTCACTTTCCTTCTTGAAAGTTTTTTTTGTTGAATTTATGAATAAGGGGAATCCACATGGACACTTTACTCGACTTTCCTCTTGCTATCATGCCAAGATAAGTAAACGATCGTTCACTTTCAAGACACTTTAACCACCTAGCCATAGAAGAGACCTTGCTTGAGGGGACACCAATACCTAATAACTTGCTTTTGAGAAGTATATTTGTACCACGAAAGTAGGAAAACATGGTCAATTCAATAATAATTAGGAGAACATAATATCTTCATCCTTGACCAAGCTATTCTGGTCATAAGATATCCACTCATGTAGATTTGATTGAGGATGCTAATATATGGAAGTTAATTATAAATGGTTCAACTAATAAGATTTTGAAAGTGTTTTTTGGAGATGAGTTTCAAACAAAGGACCTACTCATGTGAAGTATTTTTTAGGGATTGAGGTCTCTCGCACTCAGAATGGAAGTTTCATGTCTCAATGAAACTATTGTTTTGAAGTATTTAATGACTCAAACTTGATTGATGCAAAAACTTATGATTCTCATATTGAATCGAATATGAAAATGAAAGCAGATGACGGAGATCCAATTGAAAACTAAAAATATATATAGAAGAATTATTGGGAGGTTCAATTTTCTTAGGATTAATCGGCCAATAATTCTTTTCTAATGAGTGTGTGAGACATTTTATGTCATCACCAAGGACATGGGACATTGTCACTCACATCATAAAGTATCTAAAGGGTACTCGAGGGTGTGGCATATTGTATCAGAATCATAGAATCTTGGTCATTATATGGTAGTAGGGTTTACAGATGTTAACTATAATGGTGACCCTAGAACTTGATAATCAAGTATCAGGTATTGTGTCTCTGATAGAGGAAATCTTGTTTCATGGAAGAGTAAAAAACAAATTTTAGTTTTATTTTTGAGTGTAGATCTAAATATAGAGCTAGGACATAGACAACTTATGAGCTCATATGGTTGCATACTCTACTTGAAAGGATCAAGTTTTCTCAATCAAAACCAATGAATCTTTGGTGTGATAACGATGCCTCCATTTATATCACCAAAAATCAAGTATTTCATGATAGAGCCAAACACATAGAAGTAGATCATCATTTCTCTCAAAAGTTAGATTGGAAGGATTACAACTTCCCATGTTCACAAAAGTCTTACTTAGGAGTAGAGTTATTTACATTTATACTAAGTTGGCATGATCAATATCTATGCTTCATCTTGAGGGGGAATGTCGAAGTGTATATAGCAGTCAGTGCTATTAGGCTAGGGAGCTTATATGGTTTAGTTGTAGTTGTATTCTCTTGTAAGTAGATATTTGTGTATTCTTTCCTTGTATGATCACGTATCCACAATTATTGTCAATATTTTTTGTCTTTGATTACACATAGGTTTTTATGCATTTATTTATATTGAAGAACATGTTAAGAAACTCTTAATATCTTCTATTATTTGAACCTAAGATTATAAGACTATATGTAGATGAGACTAACTCAAATTTAATAAATGAACAATACCTAATCCCATAAAATTAGGATATGAGAGGTTAGATGTAGATATTCTTACCTCTAATTGGGGGTGGAGAGTCTACTTCCATAGAAGAACTCCAACGAGAATAAAAGAATAACAAACTAATAAGTACTAAGATAAAGATACAACAAACAACATGGAAATAAGTCACAAAGTATCATACAAATATAAATGCAAATAGAAGCCTACAACAATAGAGCAGAAAGTATTATGATGGCATATATAAATATGAGAAATAAAGGAATAGAACAAGAAGTAACAAGTAAATACAAGCAAATAATCAAAAGGTAGAAGGAAGGATGACTATGCATACGAATAATTTACTAAGATGCTCATGCATAACACGAAGTCGGGAATATAAAATTATGATATATAAGATGTTGAATAGAATTCAGAAAGAGCTAAAAGATTGTATTTATAGAGTCAAACCTTGAGCTCGGATTTTCGTAATGTTTTAATCACAAATCTGTCATCATGAGAGCGATAAAAAAGGCTTCCACTTTTCCCTGGAGAAGAAAGCTCTATTAAACCATCATCCCCACATATTGACATCATATAATCTGCAGCATCTAATTTGAATAGTTCCCTCAAATTCCTGAAAAATGACTCCATCCAGATGTATTAAGACAATATGAGTATCAATATAACATACATGATAGTATTTCATATAAAATTTTGGTACATACAAAGTGCACATGAAATGTAGTGATAGCATATCCATGAAATGTTAGCCATGCATTCTTTAATGGATCAATACTAAATTGCACATGATCATCTATATAAATACATCATAACATGCATAATTATTTCCTTATTCATGTATTTGGAACAATCCATCACTCATACACCTTTTGTGACTAATGTATCATGCTCTCTTCTCCTATCAAACTATGTAGCCAAATTTGTTAGTAGTTTGATTATGGGATAAATGAGTTATGATCCTAGCTAAATAAATATATGACGAAATTCTAATAATTTGTACATTGGTTATTAGATCTATATGTCACAATCACCACCATATCCAACAAAAGGTTCTCTTGGCCTCTCATTTTACTAGTTAAGTAGACATAAACATACAAATTTCTTTGGGTCAAAAATTTTCACAAATATTCATACCATCTTGTCTACATTACATGTATAAGGAATTTGAGAAATCTTTAGTGTTAGATTATATACATACCGAGAATGTGATGATGTTATTGCTAACATCCTTTTGAAACTATAATGGTTGTACAACCAGGTTATGTAATGTAAGATATGATCAATCCCCAGACCAAGTATACATATAATGGTTCCCAAATGATAACACTTTCCCCAAGATAGAAAACCACGCCACTAGTGCGATGATTGTCCATGACGTCGCCTCTAAGATCATTATCTAAAATACCCACAAGTTCTTTGGTCCTTTGTGTTGCTAAGTATCAGATTCATATCCATAGGATAAATCATTAGGTTGCAATCTTTAATTCCAAACTCTTCAAAATTCCCCATAGCATAAGTTGATCGTTTTTTTACACTCCAACATAATTGACAAACCTTTTTTATTTAGGTATAGATGTCTCGATCATACGAACACCTTTTTAACATAATACTCTATAAGTTTTATCCAATAGAATATAGTGCATGCATCCAATGCTTGATGTAACCCATAAAGAGCTTTAGAAATTTTGTAAACTTTATATTTCATTCCATTAACAATAAAACCTTTAGGTTGCGATATGCACTCTTTTGCATTTAGATCACTATTTAGAAATTTGGTCTTTGTGTCTAAATGGTCTATATCCTAAGTCCATTAGACCATTAATGCAAGAATAAGTTGGATTATATAGGTTCGAACTAACGATGTGAATATTTTCTCAAAATCGATACCTTGTTTTTGCAAGGAACCCCGTGCAATGAGACAAGTCGTATACTTGGTGATTGTTCATAAGGCTTCATTTTTATCCTTAAATACTCAATCTAATCAGGTTTTTGACTAGAATAGATTAACAAGCTTCGAAGTGTGATTCCTTTGAATTGCATGAAGTTCGGTTTTTTCTCCATTCTTCATTAGTTGATTTTTTTTTTAATATAAAGGTTGTTCGAAGTCAATAAGAAGCAATTCTCCATGTCTAAAATCAGCAGATCCACTCTTCCATAGATACCGGTCAACGTATGGTAACTAATTATTGGTCAATGTATGATAACCAACTAGTCCAGGCCGGCTAGAAGAGGTTATCAATTCAACAGAAAATGGGTTTTTAGGATTTTTTTATACGAACGGATGTTGCATTTTTAGAGGCTGTTTTGGGTTGAATTTGGTATTGTTTTGGAGCTTTTTTGATCCCAAGTGGTGAGTTTTCGGGTTTGTTTTGGGATGAAAACACAGTTATTGTTTCGCCATGAAAACGATGTTGCAGGGTTGTTTTGTGTGAAAACAAAGTTGTTTCAGGGTTATTCGGGATTGAAAACAAGGTTATTTTGGGGTTGGTTTGGTACTAACGTCTTGTTCTCGAGTTCTACTTACACCCTGTTCGCGAGTTCAACTTAACGAGAGAAAGGAAATGAATTGGGTGGAAATGAGAAGAAAATAAAAAAAATTGGTGTTTCCAAGTTTCATTAAACGAGGGAAGTGGAAGAAAGTGGATGGAAATGGGATGATCACTTTTCCTCCTAACTTTCCTTCCGATTTGAGAGGATTTGGAAAGAAAGAACAAAATGATTCATTTTTCCTTCCACTTCTCTCCAACTCGGCAACACAAAAAAAAAATTGTTTTCATTTCCTTTCTCTTCTTTTCTCTCACGACTTTCTGTTCTCTTTTCTTCTTTTCTTTTGTTAAACTCGGGAACTAGGCGTTAAGGAGGGATATGGAGGGAAAGTGAGGGATGTCAAAAGAAAATCATGTTCCCGAGTTTAATTAATGGAAACAAAGTAAGAGGAAGGAAACTCTTTAAGTTTTATTTTCTTTTTGGTCCTAAACCGGAAACACCAAAACATAAATTTTTCCTTCAGCTACCTATTTTCTTTGCTTTTCCTTTATTGAGTTTAAAAAAAAACTCCGAAACAAGGCATAAAGGGCTACTGTGACACCATAATTTTTGGCTAATAAAACAACCCATGTTTCCGTCCAAATCCATCTTTGTTTTTCATCAAACATCGTGTATCATCTTACCCGTACCTTCTTTTGTGGTTAGAAAAACCGATGTCCTTTTGTACTTCTTCAGCCCTAAGATAGATCATCTTCCCACTTCGATCACCCAACTTCTTTTGACGCAAACCTAAGATTTTAATATTTGTGAAACAACCAAAAACATTGAAGAAATGAAATTTTGGCTTCTGACCGGTCAAAGCCTCGTGCGATGTGACATTGGGAAGATCCATGTTGGGTAGGTTAGGTTATGTTAATGGGTCCCATGTTAATTAGTAACTAGATTTATTTTGTTGTTGAATTGATCATATGTGACCAAGTTGGAAGGAGAATAATGGAGCATAGTAGCACCTTCATAGGAAGCACATGCACCTAGTATTTACGTTTGTTTTGTAGTCTATAAATAGGTTATACTTTGCAAGTGGGTTTAAGTGAAGGGCTGATCTGCAAGTGGGATTACCTACATCTTCAAAGCCCATGCCACAAAATTAGACTTTGTAAGGATCGGGTAATTTAGGGTGGCACTCCCTTATTCTCCAATCCTTTGTGCTTCTCCATCTGCCTTCGAACATTTGATCCTGCCATTGTTGTTTTTGGCATATACTTGGACATACACAAAACAGAGCTCTAATACTACGTGTTGGATTAAACTGATTGTAATATATTGCGTTTTATTATATAGGTTATGTAAATAAATCAAAGGCTTTGCTGAGAACTACTGTCGAGAGATCTAAGAGAGAAAGATATATTATAATTTTTAAAGGCCAAACTACTTCTACTGTCGAGAGATCTTAGAGAAAGATATAGTATACTTTTTAAATGCCAAAAGTACTTCTATTGAATTGAATAATGGGAAAACTCGTTAACATAGATAATAGTAATGACAATACTTAATTAATATACGATATATGTGCTTAAAACTGATTGTCAAGGTCGCGACTACTTAGATTTATAGGGGATGATTAAGGAAGAAGAAAAGAGAAACAAACACCAGCTAAATAGATACCTGAAGACCATAAAAGAATAGTCTTTCCAATAGAAATCAACTGAATTATGTGGAGGTGTCGATTGTGAGCCTTTCCTAGGGAAATAAACCCTTATCCTTGCTTGTTCTCCAAAATCTGAATATCTCACTTCACGCATAGTAAGCGGTGTAATTTTGCCAACAGTGTACCTATAATCAAGTCATGTACACAAAACATGAGTTTGGAATCAACAAGAATGTAGAGCTACATTATAAAATCAAATGTTAAACCAAGGGGAACGAACTCTCTTGTACACAACAAGGAGAAAGAAAAGCAACTTGACACAAGATTTTCATGTTATATCTCATTCAACGTTAACAAGCAAAAAGCAACAGTCATATAAGGTTTAAATGAGATTTAAGAAAACTGACCACTACCCCACAAAAAACAACTAAAATAAAACTGCTACCCACTACCTTGAAGACAAGGTACGTAAAATAAACAAGGGGTAAAACTGTAAAGAAGGAAATATGCATGGCAAACTCATGCATGACTTAAGTGATATGTATACGGTGTTGCAAGTCGAAATGAAATTGAGCTGAAACTGAGAAGAAATGAACTGGAACATAAATTAAGTAGAGTGAATGGAATAATCAAAAAAAAAGTTGTACTACAAATTTTCAGATGATAATTGGTTTGAAAAATAGATATAAACATTTGCTTCTATATTATAAGATAGTCACATACAGATCAATGTTAAAAAAAAACGGCCAAATTAATACCTAGCTAGACATAAGGAATCATTTTCTTGTACATCACACGTGGTGGGGCAATAATTTGTTTTTTGCAACTGTGCACATGGATTGGGGTCGATCATGGGCAAGAGACAAATGGACCCAAAGCTAGATTTAGATGGGTCATAGGGGGGTAGGGGGTAGGTTCAATACTAGTAAATATTGAACATGAAAATTAATATCAGACAAAAGTCAGATTTAGAGTATTCATTATTTACCTGATTCCTAGTTGCAGATTAAGCATCATATAGTTGCTCTTACGGGATTCAAAAATATCCAAAGTTGACTTCCTTTTCATTTCCTCCATAAGAAATATTCGTTGTTGTTCCTTTTTGCTTAAAACCTTCGCATTATTTTTAGTTCTTTCTTTCACCAAAACTCCTTGTATGTATTCCCTTTCCCAAACTACATTGCTACTATTATAATCATCTACACTTTCACCTTCATCAAGGTTATGAGATAATAACTCGGTACTATTTAACGCAGAGGACTCCATAGAAGAAACTCCAACAGAAATTTTCTTGTTTGATATTCGACCCATGTCTCTAAATAATCCTTTAATAGGTTTCTTTATAGATATACTCCGAACTATACTATGAGGTTTTGAAGCTTTCTTTTTTCCTAATCTTCCAGAAGATGAACTCCTAATACTTATTGCAGGATAAAACATACCCAATCCATCCTTGAGGCCATTCGTCCATGTCCCAAAATAATAATTACCATCTACAAACCTATAAACCCCTGTCCCATGCCTATCCCCTTTTAACCAATTACCATCAAACAAATCACCATTCAGCCATTTCATCACCCCTCTACCACACATCAATCCACCTTTCCAACTTCCCATATACATGTCGCCATTACACCAAGTGTATTTACCACTTCCTTCATGAACACCCTCTCTCCATGAACCATCGTAAACATCTGAATTACTATATTGCTTTCTTCCAAACCCATGTTGAATGTTCAACCTCCATGACCCTATGTATGTTGACCCATCTGGATTTGTCAATGTGCCAAAACCATGTAAGTAGCCTCCATAGAAATTACCTTCATAACTTGCTCCAGATGACCAAGTGATCTTTCCATTACCAGCCATTTTTCCTTCTTCCCAACAACCCTCGTAAACTGTTCCGTTTTTCCATTTGTATGTACCTCTGCCATGTGGGATCATTCCCTTGACATTACCAGAGTAGACATCTTCTTCTTTTAGAACAATCTCCATATTACTCATCCTGAAACAATGAGTAATACACATAAGAAGAACATCGTCGGGTTTTCAAAACAAAATTAATTTCGCATTTAAGAACGCATGCAAATTGTAATTAATCTTTGACTTTTGTTCTACTTACGTGAAACGTGAAAGTTATAAGCTTTGACTTTTTAAGAATGCATGCAAGTTGTTATGCAAAAATGTATGAAGGATGCAATTATTTTGAAGACTTGCAAAGAGCCCCATGAATTTGAAAACCATCGTTGTTTTTTTATTATATACTCCATCTTATACCATATGTTAATTAATCTTTGACTTTTGATGTTTTGCACATACAAAGAGGACAACGAATACTACGACTTTAATTACTTCAATTGTTTCTTTGGCATAAAGTAAGATCTGAGAGACACTTTATTTGATTTTTGTATGAAAAGTAAATTTTCTCTGACACCTTAAACAGTACTTGCAAAATTATATGTGACCTCTTAACTTGAAGATCTCAGTAAATACTAAATCATTTAATCATGATATGAACATAGCAATTCCAATAATTAAAAAAGACTTTTGACTTCTCAAGGCACATATATATATAGCATCAAAATTAATTACGTAGGTCTAGTTACTGTGTTAATAGTACAAATAGATATTGTATTATATTCATATTAAGAAGAAATAAGCTTCACATTACTATCTATCAAACATCCCAATGACAAAAGTGATACTGTATACATCCAACGAATGAGTTTGACCATTCGACAGCCCACCTTAGCAGTGTCACTGTAGTATCAATACCAAAATTCATAAATGCAGTCGCTATGAACTTGATAACTACGATCATTACATAATCGAAGATAATTTTGCTAAAACTGATGTTAGCATTCATGATGCACAAGTTTTAGCACGAACTTGAACATCAAAAACTTGTCGTGAACTCAACAAAAGAAAAGGACAAATGCACACCAATGAAATTGAAGTACTCACCTGTTAAATCAATTCAAATCCAAAAGAAAAAAGACATTTCTAATTGATTGGTTGGATCTTGGAACTCCACGACTGGATTTACACTCCAGAAATTCTGCCTTTGGGGAGCTTTGGTACCACAGAGGCTTTTAGAAGAAAAAGATTGGGCAGAGAGAGCAATAATGTTTGAGGGGAATAATAAAGTAAATGCATCACAAGCATGCAAAAATAGTGTGGCAAATATGTGTGTGTCTAGACCTCTGGGGAAGAACGACCGTTGGATGGCTTTAGATGCGAGATGAACGGTTTGAGATGTTTCCCAGGTCCTTTTTGCCGACTATAATGCCGACGCAAGGCATATATATATGGTGAGATGTAATTGAAGTTTTGAAGATTCTCAATTTTTTTTTCAAATAAATTAATATAAATGTTTAATAGAAGAATTACGTAGTTAACAAGTATCACTTGTATTTAAAAAATCTATATTTGGTAAGCAATTATGACTTGGTATAACGTTACAAACTCATGATCAGTATGGAACTCAATTATAGACGGAATCTATTAAACTTTTTTTTTTTCCGACAAGACTTTTCAAGTAAAAAATTTGTATGTCGATAAATGCACACAGCCAAAATTCGCACATGCCCATATTCCTATAATAAAGCAAAAACAATATATTTTTATCCAACATTCTTCTAAACTCTATCTTCATATTCACACATCCCAAAAAAACCTATTTCTTATATATTTGAATATGTTATATTATTCAGAATTCTTCATTCATAATAATAATAATGAGGATTATATATATATATATATATATATATATATATATATATATATATATATATATATATATATATATATATATATAGTAATGTTTAGAGATGCACAAAACCCAAATCCGATCCAATCAGATCCGGTTAGAATCCGATTCGTTTTTGCTTACGTCATCAAAAATCGGATCTGGTCAAAATACCATCCGAATCCGATTTGAAACCGGTTTAAACTGATTTTAATGGGTTTTAAGCGGATTTTGGGGCAGATTTGGATTCGATTTTTACTTAATCTGGTTTACGATCTAGTATCAAATCCGATTTGGAATATAGGATTACGATCCGATTGAAAATCCGGTTTTAAATCCGATCCAACCCGGTTTGGTCAAAACCGATTTTGACACCAATCCGATTTTGAATTGGATTCGGTTTTGAATAGTGAAACCAGTTTTTGTTTGCATCTGATAGCTAGGGTTTTCAACAGAACATACATCATTTACTGGTGGTAACCAGGGTTTTCAAACGTAACATACATCACTTAGTGGTTGTAGCCAGAGCTTTCAAACGTAATACATTTTACCTACTAGTGATTGACCAGGGTTTCGATACAAACGACATTTTACTTATAATGAAAAGAAATCAATTGTACAAATCCAGTGACTAGTTTTCAATACAAAAGTATGCTTATGAACTCACCAGCTTTATGCTGATACATTTCTAAAATCGTTTGTATTCTCAAGACAACGATAAATAGGTACCATTGGCAGCTTTTGGAGAAGACGAAGCATTTTGGAGTCTCTTCTTTATCTTTTGCTACTTTTGATGCATACAAACTATGTTTTCAAACAGATGTAAAATATTCATATTGTAATGTAATGGTTGTGTTTACTTTGATTGCTATGATACGATTGTTGTGATACTACGCATGACGTCACCCACCCCCGGACGTTTCTGTCACCCGTTCTGATTGTTTGGGGTGTGACAGATTGGTATCAGAGCTATTGCTTATAGTGAACTAAGTATAACGAACCTTATATGGTATACATGTAGCACCTGGTTCCTGGTACGTATTCCTTGTAATTAATATTTCTTAATTAATGCATTTTGTCTTGGACTCGGCGAGTTGAAGGACAAACTCGCCAAGTAGAAGCGGGATGAGACGTGAGGTTTAAGCCTTAGACTCGGCGAGTCGGTTCCTGAACTCGGCGAGTAGGCCATGTTTGGGTAGAAACCCTAACCCGGGTGTTTGAACCCTATTTAAACACTCTAACTCGGCCTCCCTTGTCCATAACACTTCCAGAAGAGTTGTAGAGCGAAACCCTAGCCCCTTTTGTCCTTGTGAGTGATTTTGGCCTTGTGAAGGAAGTTTAAAGCTTAAGAGAAGAAGAAGGAGGTGGAAGAGTACAAGGAGGGGAAGTAGATCCGACATCTACCCTGCAAGAGGCTTCCATTCAGGTAGAAAAGTCCCTTACCTTGATCACTAGTTCATTACATCCCCCTTTTGTCCCTAATTAGTGGTTTTCAAGCCCTAAAACACCAAACTCCATGTGTTTGTGCTCTATGATCCGAAAGGACTTCAGATCTAGACCTTATAGATGTATTAGAAGTATAAAGTCTTTGTGGTTGAAGTGATTGAGGTCCCTATTGAGTGTATGACCTCATAAAGAGCTTGGATTTGCCTTTTGGAGCTTATAGGGCCATGCATGCACGTAAAGTTTGCAACTTTACGTGATAAGCATGCCCTAGGAACATAGATCTATGGTTTGGAAGTGTTACATGTCTCGGATTTGGTTTGTATGGGAAGTGGGTCGAAGGGACTCGGTAAGTTCTATGAAAATGGTCTTAGACTCAGCGAGTTGGATGAACAACTCGGCGAGTACTATGAAGATTTCCTGGAACTCGATGAGTTATTCTTCAAACTCGGCGAGTCATATAAATTGTTACTGAGTAAGAGGGGTTTAGGTGTTAAAGGTCCAACCCTTCGTATTTGCACGCGGAATTAGCAATTTAACGTGCAACAATAGTCCCAGAAACCCAAATCCTCATAAAGGATGCTCTGGTGAGGATTTGGAAGCGAGTAGGAGATCTGTTCGTGGGGACTCAATGTGTTGTTCTTGGCCTCGGCAAGTCGGATCGCGAGTCGGTTCTTTCGTCCCAAGTAGTAAGTTAAGGGTGACTCAGTGAGTGAGAAAAGGGACTTGTCGAGTAGGACCGGGTTAGTAGGAGAAGGACTCAGCGAGTCTGTGCCATGACTCGGCGAGTCTAGTCAACTGGAAGTTGACTTTGACCAAGTAGTTGACCTTGGACCAGGGGTGGGTCATTCATCTGACCTAAGGGTGTTTATAAGTGGCTAATCTATGTTTATGATTTATACCCGAAGGATTACCGGTTTAGCAATCAGGCGCTTAGCAAGCAAACTTTCAGCAGCTACTTTTCGAGGTGAGTTTCCTTCCAGTAGGAATGGGTCTAAGGCACCAAGGCCAGCCCGTATAGACGATATGATAGTATCGGAGTGTAGGAAGAGCCAGTATCTCTTAGTTGAGTCTGATGATGATATATGCTTGTGTGGTAGAATTGTTTATACTCGTTGTCTGTGTGATACTTGTACGTTATGGTTTAGTAGCAGAGTGTGGGCGAGGCCCGTATCTCCCAGATCTCGCCCATATCTCCTAGCTAGCGGAGTGTGGGCGAGGCCCATATCTCCATGAGTGTGGGCGAGGCCCGTATCTCCTAGCTGTTCATTATATGATTGTATGGTATGTGGTATTATGGGGGAAATCACTAAGCTTCGTGCTTACAGATTACAGTTTTGTTTTTAGGTACCTCTTCTTCGAAGGGGAAGGACTTGGCGCGGTAGTGACACATTATACACGCACATTGTTTTCCGCACCATGAGTTATTTTGGGATTTGTACTCTGACAATATTATATGGTTGTTTTCATGTTTTGGTTTTCGGACACGAAATATGTTTATGAAATGATGGAATCAAAGGATGTTTATTCATAAATGTTTTCCAAAGTGTTGATTTAAAAATGAAATTTTTGGTCGTGAAAATTGGGTTGTTTCAAGTTAGTATCAGAGCCCTGGTTTGAGGGATTTGGTTACACCTTCCGGGGCATCTGGACTCAAACCAAGGGATTAAAAGATTTTATAAGAAAGTGGTTTTCTGAAGAATAAAACATATGAGTTTTTTTAGAAAGAACAAGTGTGTGATGTGCGCGACCGGCCGAGCTCAAGTAAGTATTCCCCAAAGTACCCATACAAGTTTATGTTACGTTTATCAGT